ATATTAATGACAATCAGTTATTGACATACAGTTTGTCTCCAAAATTTGTAAACAAAAATACTTATTTCAATAACTATTTATATCATGAATGAAATCAATGTCTCATTCAATATAATTATCGCATAAAGAGCTATAAATATTTCATAACAAATTGTTTTGTTGCCTTTATTTCCCCTTTTATTATGAATTAGTATAATTTATAACTAGAATTGTATTACAAATACCGGTCTTTTGAACGACATGTGAATATATTTTGTAAATTTGAATATATATTTCATTTTTATTATGCATTTTTTTATTTAAATGTTTAGTAAATAATTTAAATAAATACTTATATAGTTATAGTAATATTCCTTTATATAGATGTGAATAACAATAAAAGTGAAAGTCATGTCAATTATAAGCGTATTGAAACAATTCAGGTATTAATAGCAACGAAGACATTGTGTTTATTAACATTTATGCTGTTTATTGAGGTCTAAATAAACGACAAAAAACTTGTAATTATTTCATAAATAGTTGATTATAATATAGCGTAATATTCTTATTAATAATAAGTTATTACATTAACATTTATGCATTTCTTTGAGCAATTTTGTCGCAAATGATAAAATTAATTTTGAAGACCAGACAAATGGTGTGATTATAATATTTTGTATATATCAACACATTTATTGCATTTCATTAGCAATTTATTTTCTGATTCATTGCTTATCTCATGGACTCTCAAACCAATCATTTAATAATTTTTAAAGTTTTTTTGACGATGTGTTTGTTTATGAATAATTAAATCGATATTTATATTTTGTTTTAATTGAATTCTTAGTCTTATTCAATGGTAGGCAATGAAAAATAATTGTTTAATTAATGTGTAGTCTTTGTGTCACAATTTGTGCACAAGTTTTAGTACCGAAATGTATATTTTGCAGAGACCGCACGCAAACCCATCGTTAAGTTTTAGTTAAAAACCTAAAGTAAATTATTGTTTCTTACGATGACGTCAAGCGCTGCACTAAATAAGGAGAAAATTTCACTTAATTTGTCATTTATTTGATTGAAATTCTTAATCAAACGAAACTTATTTTTCTGAAATGTAAATAAAATTTTTCAAAAAATGTCTAAAAAACAATTTGATATAATTTATGGTCTTTTTATTTCGTAATAAAATACATTTTAAAGCAATATTTAATTTCACATCAATATTAATGATTGTATTATTGGTTTAGTTTGAATTGTTGTTCTGCATTCATGACGATAAAGACGCGGCCATAATGTTTGTCAAGCGACTGATCGAAAAATATCCCGAAGTGGACGCCCGGCTATTCATCGGCGGCACTGTTGTTGGCGTCAATCCCAAGATTAATAATATGGAACCGGGATATCGGGCCGCCAAGTATGACCTCATCCTCATCTCTGACAGTGGCATCAGAAGTATGTGTTGTCTGGTGTTTATGTTGAGAGTGTTGTCTATAATGACTGGTTTTGTACAGTGAAAGAGGACACACTCTTAGATATGGTCTCATCGATGGACGAAGACGTGGCTTTAGTCCATCAAATGCCGTTCGTATGCGACCGGAAGGGCTTCCCTTCAGTACTTGAAAAAGTGAGTGATTTATCGTTTGAAACTTGAATTCATTATTAAAGTAAATGTTTGTTTGTGTGATGAAAGGTCTACTTCGGCACCGCTCACGCGAGGATATACTTATCGGCCGACTTCTTAGGCATAAATTGTCCGACGGGTATGTCTGCACTCATGCGGAAGAAGCCTCTCGACGACGTCGGAGGGATCGCCGCTTTTGGCCAATACTTAGCCGAAGATTTCTTTTTTGCCAAATCATTCACTGATCGGTATATAATTGAGAGACTAATTGTTTATAAATTTAGATTTTATTTTAATTTATTTTGTATTTGTAATGAACCAGAGGTTGGAAACTTCGGATCAGCTCTCAGCCCGCGTGGCAGAACTCCTGTACACCAGATATAGACTCATTTCAACATAGAATAACGAGGTATTAATATTATTGATTTTATTGGTACTATTTTAAGGCAAACATTAGCTTTATATTCCTAAACAATACACTAAAACAGTATAACATTTAATCCAATTAATATCGATTTTATGCATTAAAACAATGCTTTCGTAAATAGGTTTTAACTCACAATTAATTAATTATTTATAGGGTTTTATTTCTGAAGCAATTATTTATTTATTTCAATTCTCATATCAAATATTTTTATTACCTTTTTTTTACATTTGCAATGAATTTATAGATTTAAACAAATTGTTTTGAAATATGATACTAATTAAGAGTTTACAGTTTTGCAACATCATTGTAATTTGATTTAAATGATAATTATATGTATATTTTGATGCAATGCATGATTCATGGAATGTGCCATATATTGTAATGCATGTAAATTAAACATTAATTAATTATTAATGAACGCATATATAATGTATTGACAGATGGGCTAAACTGCGAATAGCAATGATTCCGCATATGATTTTGTTGGAGCCGTTGTCCGAGTGTCTAATGCTGGGAGTGTTGGCCGCGTGGGCCGTCAGTTTCCTCGTCCAATGCGATCCGTTCGCCGTCTACTTATTCCATCTGCTCCTATGGTTTCTTCTCGATTACGTACTCTTATGTATAATTCAGGTCTGAATCTATACTTTTTGCCAATCTATACCTATCGATTTGATAGCAATTATCCAACAATTTGTTAACACTTTGTGTGAATTGATGTGATGTACAGAACGGGTCGATACCATTCAGCAAAACCGACTTTGTGGTGGCGTGGATGATGAGGGAGTGTTGCGCTCTCTTACTATTCATTAGAGCCCTGTGGGAGCCGGACATCAAGTGGAGGACCGGAACATTTAAGCTGAAGTGGGGCGGAGTCGCCGAAGAAGTGAAAACAAAATTATAGCATTCGGTTTGAAAGCCAAATCTCTCCTCTCAATCAATGAATGATTTTGTTTTTGTTTTTCTTAAACCAATGGTCAATATTTGACCGAAAAAAGACTTAATCAACATTTTTTAAATCTTTACAACAAAAGTGCCTCAAAATTGTCATCAAAACTATTGTGGTGTAAATATTGAGCACTCCGTATATGAAAATCATATGGCAGTCTAAACGATGACATTAATTATTTAATTTTTTATACAAATCCTCATCCTTTCGACTCTACATCTTCTCAATCATTGGAAACGCATTTGTTTTTTAAATTAATATTTTGTGACTTAAATATTAACACTCAATGGCATTGTTTATGTCAGATGTGTTGGCATGTGATCGAAATGAATGCATTAAAATAGTGTAGTGTTTGAGCGCCTAATGATCTGAATTAATGGACCGAATAATGGTTGGAAGAAGACATGGAAGAAGACAACTGCCATTGAATGTGTTGACCAGTACTCCACAAAACCACAACACCTCAGGACTACTCAACACTTAAGGCGTTATCTGTTTTTATTATTTTAGTGAAGAATATTCTGTTATACTTTAGTTATTGTTTTAATTTATTTTGAATTCTTGTCGCTTATCAACGAAATATACAAACAATATATTTAATTAAGTGATAATTATTATCGTTAATTCGACTCTTATTTTACAAATGATTTAGTAGTATATAATTCAATACCAGATCTGATAAATAGTTACTATATTTTTAATTAATTATGTTTACAACTCATCTGTCGATCAAATTTTGTCTTTTCGGTTACGATTTCAATATATTTAAAGTAGAAATACAAACAATACAAGAAATACTCATTTATTAAATGCTTTTATTTTGAACCGAAAAAATCAATGCTTGAAATTATGATGAAATGAAACGAAAACATCTTAGATTTCGAAACACTTTTTTGCAGTTAATTATTGTTATTATGACAAAAAAACAAATTATAATACAAAATATTGTGAACTTAATAACCATTTCTTACGAACCAATACTAATGAAGCTTTTATAATGTACTCCTCTTTCTAAGTGACAAAAATACATGTTTGAAACCAATTAATATAAGTTAATATAAGATCTTCCCAATAGTGTACTTCCCTATAGTCTTAGAATAAGCATAAAATTGTTTGTGAAAACCATAGGTTATTCTTCAGACAAAAATTGTTCAATTGCTATAAAAAGTATTATTTTATCTAATATTTTAGAAATAAATTTTAATTGTTTTCCAAATAAAAAAATGACAACTAATATGAATATAAATAGAAATAATTATTATTTCCAATCCATGAGATCTAAAGATTTGATATCAAAAAAATAATATTGAATTAATTTCTCTCAAAGAAAACAATAACTCAAACAATGATTGTAATCAATATATCGATCCGAGTGTTGTATACATAAGAATATGAACTAAACATTCCTTATATATTATCGGAGAAAATATATAACTTTTCAATCGATTTGTAAACTTATAATCCAATAGTAAAACAACTGATGGCTAGTCATGAGTCGGTTTTAAAACCTATATTTTCAATCAATCAATCGATTTTGTGCTAAATTTAGACAAATTTTTAAATTTGAAAAATCAATGTTAAGCTAATTGTAAAACTGAATTACAAAACAACAACACGTTATATCTGTTTTCAATATTTCCAATCGAAATATTGAATTAAATACTAAAACATAGGATTAAACACAAAATTTTAATTTAATTTTATAGCGAAAATTGTGAAATGAATACTAAATGTATTGAAATTTTAATGTTTTTTTGTTGCTATTTTTATGCAATTATTAAATGAGAGCACAGTTTCTTAACAAAAACACTCAAACATACAATTCCTGTAAATAATATTTGGAATAAAAAATATTTTCAAATGTTTTGGCAATTGTTTCGTATATTTTATTTTATTTATAAAGTGTTGCGAAATGTATTCAATCATTAGTTTGTATCCCATATTCTGGTTTCATACGAAGTGCGGCTATGGGTGCGATAGTACTCAACCAACTGATCAAATAGTCCTCTTTATTTATATGCAATTTATTTTGATGGCATTGTTTGCCACTAAATATATTGTTCATAAAAGTGGACGTATGGCAGGGATGGATGGCATAGAAAGGTCTCATCAACAGTGGGTGTTCCTATCAATCAAAGCATTTCAATTGTTTCA